ATCATTTCGGATTATGGACGTCCGGATTAAAGACTTTTGACTGTATAACAGATTTTTCTTTTCCTTTCTTTCTTGTTCCCCCCATTTTCTCTCTCTCCTTTTTTAATATATCTAAGAGAATTCTAATTTTTAGTTACAAGGAGCATTATTTATTTTATGAAGTGCATGTATTAGAAATTATCTGAAATAAAGTATATAAATGTTTAAAAGATAAAAATAATTTTCTCCGATATAAGGCAAATAAAAAATAAGTAAACAAGGAATTTATTATCAAAATTTAAAAAAAATCTGCAAAAAGCATCAATCACAAAGATATATCTCCTAAATACAATGTGTGTGACTGTATTTTAAATTAAGGCATATTCGACAGTGCTACATGTGTGATGTCTTTAATAAGTGATTCTCACTTTGGGCCCTAAAGTGCACCATATCTTTGATACCTTTTTCTCATTTTCAGCACAGAAAGGGTATTGTTGTTACAGCTCTCATGGGTTGTTATGGTGCAATGGGTGAATTGAATCCTATAGCAATATCAAATCCTCCCCTTCCTGATTTTAGTACCATGAAAATAATTAACTTTGGTGATAATACTTTTCTCATTCAGTATAAAGTTGTGTTTTACTTATTTCAAGTGTGCTTTTAAAAGTGAAAATTTTGACTCCCTTTCACTACATTTCACCCTTTAGGAAATAAATTCTCTGTTTGCATGAAAATCTAGTCTTTGATATCCCTGAAACATGAAATTATAGTTAACAGTATTTTTGAAAAATATGCTCCATGTGCATATTTTTCAAGTTTTTATTCCCATCTCTTTTAATTCCATTTTCTATATTTTTCACCCCATTGTCTGAAAAGTACAGCATACTTTAGGTTATTTTCATAATGTTCAACATAATGTATCTTATATAGTATCATCTGCGTCTAAGTATGTCTAACAGTAAGGATTAAGTTTTGTTTTTTATATTATGATAGTTTTTTAATTAATAATTTCTTCATAGTAATAATTTTATATTCCAAACTGGAATTTAGAAACTAATACTTGAGCTTTCGAAGTTCAAATATGTTTTCCATGATTTTATACCACAATATTTGATTTTATAAATGGCAATATTAGGGATCCTTATATATATATCTATAATAATATATATAACGACAGAATTAAATATTTTAGATTTTACACTTTTGTATTTTTAAAATTTCATACATAGCTTGGTGTCGTTGCAATTTTTGTTTGGTTTACTTGTTTAGTATCCTTTTTCTTACTTAATCCTTAAAAATATGCTTTCAATAATTTCATATTATTAAACAATTCAGTTTATTCATTTGTAGAATCACCTGCAAACATAGTAATTCGAGCTCTCAGGTTAGCTGCAGTTATAGCATTTTTTTTAAAGTTTTCTTTAGATAATTAGTCGCTAATTGTTAATGAAGAAAAAGGTCATCTTTTTTAAAAATTATTTATTTATTTGTTCTTAATGTCTGAATTTGCTGTGGTTCTGATTTCTGTTGTACTCATTTACAAGTGGGATAATAATCCTATAACTACAAAATAGCAAATAGAGGATGCATTTTTTCGTGAAGAGATACTATTTTTTAAATCTATGATTTTACATATTTATATAATTTTAACCAATAAAGTATCATTGATAAAAAATATAAAAATATATTTTTAGATAAACGAATCTGTTTTTTTTTCATCATTGTCTGAAAAAATATTTGAGTTTTACCAATGCAAAATTTAAATTATTTTCCTACAAAATTAATTAGACGTATAAATTATTTACTTATACTTAACTTTATTAAGTATTAATGTAATTTAAATAACTGATTTATAAGAAAATGTGTGATTTTTTATTTCCTCATGGCCAAAATTTGATAACTATGTACCTTTCAATTTTGCCATGCTAACTTCATATGAAAATCGCTTTTCAAAGTTCATCGCAGTTTTTCTCTCTTGGAACTTTTACAGCAGGTTTAAAAGCATAACAAAATTGAGTTTTCTTTTATGCAGAAAGTTTAAAATGTGCCAAGTTTTGCCACTCATTAGAGCACTAAAATAAAAAACTGTACAAATTTGAGAGTTTACTAAAGCTATTTTATAGTTATGGAGAGGTCAAAATAGAAAACTGGTGTTAATAAAAAACTAGGTTGCTAAAAATTGATATTCTGTAGTATTTTAAACATTCCTTTTTAAACAGTAACAACTATCTTTTGTTTAAGAATACATTTTTTGTGGACTCTTAAGACTTTTGCTTTCTCTGATTATTCATCGTTTTTTTTTTTTTTTTTTTTTTTTAGAATAATTTGCTCTAACTATTTTATTTGCAAATTTAGAAACCTTTTTTCTTAATTTACTCAAAAATTTATATAAAAATTAATTTAATCAGAAGTTAATTTATATAAAAAATAAAGTAAATTATTGTACAAATCAAGGTAATAAATTATGTGAATTTACAGCTTTTTATGAGTAATTCTGAAAAGGAATCTGTTCAGAGGTTAATAAAAATGTTTTATTGTTTTCTGTATGAAGGCTTTGTTGTAATATCCTGATATCCAATACCACAATAAATAAATAAATAAAAATAAATTGTTGTTGTATGAAATATCCAATCGATGTAATTCATTTTTGCAAGGAATATGTGAAAGGCAAGCCTAATTAAGATTATCTGATCAAATGGTTTTGTTATCCATATCGAAGTGCTGTGTCAACTAAAGGTGAATCAAGTGCTTTGTGCAGAGTGAATATCCAAGTGAATTTCTGGAATACAACATTTGATTTCAATGTGTAAAGATTCAAACTGATTTAGTATGGCTCTGATGTATCCTTTTTAAGAATCTGTGGAAGGGCGTATCATCTGATAAGAAGTATTGCATACAATTATGGATATAGTGAAATATGGGGATATTTCAAAATAGTCTCTACGCTATTTTCAGTTCCAGAACTATAGAACTGTTGTAAGGAAGACTGGACGAGGTCATGAATACATAGCAACTGCTTCTCAGTATCAATATCTGGCAATAACTATGCATTGGAATTGCTGCATCACGGCAAACTGTATACAGAAAGCTTAATGAAAAAGGCCATTATACCAGAAAACCAAGGCTAAATGTTGCATTGTCTTCACAACGAAAGAAAGATTACTTTAATTAGTGCAAAGAACATCAGAACTAGAAAGAGTATTAATAGTCCTTTTTTTTTTTTTTTTTTTTTTTTTTTTGTTTTGTTAATGAGGTGTAGATTAACATCTGATTCTAAATGTGTTTACATCTGGAGAGATTCAGGATTGCAAAATCTTTTGAATACTATGGAATGGGACTATTTTGGTAATGTAGATGCGATGTTAAAGGCAAGGAATAATGATCGATGGACATAGCTCCTACATGTTTTCAACAGCGGATTTGTGATCAGCCAGAGATAATGAGATGAAAGGCTTAGAGCCTTATGTAAGACTTTTCAGAGGTGCATCTAACTATTCATTTATGTGTGATAATGCTCATCCACTTTTGAGAGCAAACTTCATTAATGAATTCCTTAAAGTGAAGACATTAAACGAATAGTGTGGCCAGCAAAATCTCCTGACCCAATAGAGAATTAATGGAAAAACCTTGGAAGACCTTGGAAAAACAGTTGTTTGGAGACACTCTCCTTCTAGAGGTATAAATGCTCTGAAGACTGCATTGTTGGAGGAGTTGAACTTAATTCGCCAAACTGTGGTTAATACTGTTATTGCCAGCATGAAAATACATTTTGATATGTGTGTACAAGTCAGGGAGCATCACTTGGTGTGTTAAATAAAGAGCCTTATTTTTTTTTCCCCCGAGTTTCTCTCTCTCTCATCTATCTTCTTTTTTTTTTTTGTTTTTGTTTTTGTTTTTGTTTCCTCCTGAACTCTCCTTGTGACATATCACCATTTTTACTGTTTTTTGCTCCTTTTTTTATATCACATGCAATGCTCTTAAATTTTTTGCTTTGTATTCATGTGTTATGATATTATGTATCATTCCACTGGAATTCATAGGACATGAGCATAAATTTACTAATATTTTTATTAGTTATATGTTTTAACATGAGTCTGATATTAACCTTTTTTTTTTTTCTTTTCAATATTTATAGGAACAACGATGATAACTGGAGCTTGCGTTAGATATCTAGATTTTAAAAAAGATGAGCAAGAGTTACGTTTGCATGTTGCAGATGTTCCAAATCGGAAGCAGTCTGCATCTTGGATTAATGCTCTGCAAAGGGTAAATTACAATGCAAAACTTAATTTTTTTATATAATTTTAATTTTCAGTATAGTATACATATGGAGACTCAGAGAGGAAGAACCATTTATGTCCAATGATATGAAATTTTGAGAAAAAAAGAATTTATAGTTTGTATAACTTCAGTGATAAAGGAAATATGAATTAAATCAACCAAAGCCTAAAATCTATCTGGTTAACTAACAAACCTTTATTTAACAAATTTTGCATTATATATTGGGAATACAGATAAGTCTCTGCTTTTCTTTTTTTAAGTAAGAAATTGGGGATTTATTGTGAAAGAATGGTACATTATGTTTTAATCAGAGTATTGTTCCATTGCTAGTCATTATTTTTTTCATCTTTCTGGCAGCATACCGACTCCGTGTAGGAAGCACATTTCATCTGTTGAGGCTATCCACAAATCAATCCAGTATCTTCATATGAAATGCTGCTTTGATAGGCCATGCATTATCAATCAAAACAAGTACTAATCAGAAAGAGCAATATCTGGTGAATACAGTGGGAGGGACTTCTCATTTGAGTGTTTCTGAGTAGGTTTTGACTGATACCGCAACATGTGGGTGAGTGTTTTTGTGCAGACGAATAATTTTTGACATGTCTGGATTAGTAGAGGGCACATTTTTCTTTTAAGTGCTCAGCTCAGTTTCATCAATTGTGTTTGGCAAAGAGCCCCAGTAATGGTTTCGTTTGGTTTGAGCAACTTGTAATGCATTACATCAAGTTGATCCCACCATATCGCAACATGATTTTTTTTTCCCCATGAATATTTGGCTTCGCTGTTGATATAGCATAGCAGTGCTGTCCCCATTATTTTTTCTTCTTTCGGTTATCATAGTGGATCCATTTTTCATCACCTGTGGCTAGATGCAAAAAACCTTTCATTTGTCCCTGGCAAATAGCATTTCATCTGTAAAAAATTGACTTCAGTTCATATGGAACCCAATTTCCTTGCTTTTGAATCTTTGCCCATAATTTTAATGTGAAATTGCTTTTAAGTCACTCCTTTGAAAGTGCAAGTTCTGCTTGCATTTGGCACAAATCATCATCCAATAATGCTTCTAATTCCACGTCTTCATGTACTTTCATCCTTCTGCTATATTATTTGTCGTCAGTGCCGAATTCACCATTCTTAAACTTTTGCAACCATTCACAACAACTTCTCTCACTTAAGGCAGCTTCACCTTATGCTTCTGTAAGAATCCATGTCTCTCAGCTGAAAATTTCTTCAATTTAGATGAGTAAATCAAAAGTTCTCGCAACTGCTGCTCATTCAGCTCAAAACTTTTATATTTTCACAAAAAAAAAAAAAAAAAAAAATGCTGCTGCTACAAAATCGCTATTATTTCAAGGTTATGTTGTGAGCAGCTGTCCACCATTATGATAAGATGTTTTTACATCAGATAATTTTAGCTATAATTTACTGGTTTCACCATTTTCTATCAAAGGTGGAGGCTTATTTATACTCCCAATATATATATAATAATATATATATTATTATATATATATTGATATATAATCCAGATTTTGCTGTTAAGATTTTAGTCATCTAAAAAATGAAATTTGTTTTTTCGTATTTGGTGTATTTTGTGTGTGTGTGTATATATATATATATATATATATATATATTATTATATTATATATATATATATGGTCTTACGTATATACACACACAAATGCACACCAAATAGGAAAGAAATAAATTTTCATTTTTTTGCGGTTGATTGAATTTTTTCCTCCAGTTTCATCTGTTAATCTTGGGAACACAAAATCTTCTTCACCATTATAATTGGCTGTTCCTCAAATGGATTTTTTTCCCATCATTTATTTTCAGGTCTTGAATTGCTTTTTCTTGTCCTTCAGCAAGTTTTTTAGCAAACATACAATTTCTGCTTTTAACCCTCTGGCTGCTCATCCCGCGATTTCCACAAGCAACTCAAATGTAGCAAAATCTGCTCATTCCGCAATTTCCGCGGGCATGTGTTTTTCTTCCTTTATTGAGGAGACCATCCCGTTTAACTACTGAAATAAATTAAACACAGTATTAGACGTTTAGTTTACGCTTTGGCCAATGGATATCGTTAATTGTCCACTAAATTGCGGCATTTGAAGGTACATGGTATTACCACTCAAACTCCACTTTTTTCTTACAGAAATGACTACTAGAAAACATTCTGCGATTATCTTGATTATTTTATTAAATTATTAAATTATTAATTAGATTTATTGATTAGATTAATAATTAGATTTATTGAATCTGGTGCAAAGACTGTGAAGTTGGACTTTGCCTTGAACCCTATTTTGAACTCTATCATACTAAACTGCATTTCTAAGATATTTTTCCCTCAGTGCTTTATATTTTCTTAAATTTTATATATTTTACTTTTTTATATTATGCAATAAATAGAAATTAACTGTAATTCGACTGAAATTTATTTAAAAAAAATTTTTTTTTGGTGATAACATCTGAAATTGGTTTCTCTGGCAACTTAGTTTCTCATGATAAAAATCTATTTTCTAGAAAGAAAAAATGTATTTTTCAATTCTCCAATATATATAGATTTAAAATATGAAAAAAAAATTACTCAATTTTTGAAGCGATTTCGGTCCACAAATTGAGCAGTCAGAGGGTTAATGTATCACAAAAATATTACAAGTGTCCTTTCTCAGGTAACCAAATCTACTATTAAACTTAGAATTAGAAATTATATCTGAATTTATCATATGACACTTAATTGCTTATTTTGTACATGTTATGTAATTTTAAGATGTTTAACTCTTATGGCAGGTACATTTTCTTACTTTTTTAAAGAAATAATGAGATGCTCCCCTCTTGAGGAAGCTAATAAATTCAGTTATTTAGAAGTAGTTTCCTCAGCCTAGTGCTTCGCGCAGCAGCACTGCAGGTCCGGGGTTCGATCCCCGGGCTGGGCGATGTTGACTCTGCCTTTCATCCCTTGATTTCCATCCTTTGGGTTGATAAAATGAGTACCAAGTTCACTTGGAGACTAAACACTGGGGGCCCTGCAACAAGCTGACTACTTGTTCAGTGCATATGCACCCCGGGGCCCACGGTCAAGAAAGCAGATTTCGGGACACTGCAGCCATTGGCCCACTAGGGCTGTTATGCCACTTTTTTAGTTTTGTCAGGAATTGCATGATTTTGATTTCTGTTTTCCTCTGCAGTCTGCCAGTGCCTTTTTAACGATGGCTAAATTCTCTCTTTTTTAACTGAATTTTTTGTTATGCCATGAAGTAAAGCAAAGGCATTTATACAAACTTTCCCATCTTTACATTGCCCATCTTGGAAACAACATACTCTATAAAAATAAGATACATTCCTTCATTTCCCAAATGCTTTCTTTCCCAATATCCTTCATTTACCAAATGAGAGAATTGGTACATCACAGGCAAAATAATGATTTTCGGTGTTATAATACCCAAGTTAATTAAGAACTTTGAGAATTAATTGTTTTTCTCTATCACAAATCAAAGAAAAATATTAAAAATGTTTCCTCTTATGACAGATCCTAACTCACATGCAATTGCTCTTAAAATGTTCATAACATCACAGATTCTCCATGTTTTCTTCTTCTTGACAGAAAAATAGGCCACTGAATCAGAGCTTGTATTGGAATCTTTACATTCCATATTCAAATGCAGTACTGAAGAACTGAATGAGAAAGTAACTGATTGTCAATACAAGAGACAAGACAAACATGAATAAGCTTAATAAAGGAAGTTGGACATAAATACTTCTTTCCTCTTTGTGGGCAAAAACTGTATTTACCTAGTGTGCAAAATCTTTCCTCAGTTGCAGATATGGATATGAATACTTTTTCTCCTGAAGGCGTGCATAATGTCGAAGCTATTCCTGTTTGTTGCTTGCTAGATGGCATTATTACTTTAAAAAAAATCTGGAAACTTTCATATTATATATTATTTCCAAAGGGGTGTTTTTTTAACATTTTGTGTGTTACCTTTATTTATTAAATAACATGTTCTTTGCACTTAAACATAAAATTCAATTCAACAGCTATATCGCAAAATAATTTCAAAAGTGCATTTCTTTAGAATTTCCGATAAACAGTCTTGTGCATTGGAGATAAAAAAAATTTTTTTTTCGTACAGTGTTGCCATTTCTTGCTTTGAGATCATTAAGTTTCTTAATCAAAAACTCATAAATGCTTTACAAAATATAAAATAGATAATAAAACAAATTCCAAATTTGGGCTTCCAGATGCCCACATTCAGGTGGAGACGTACGTTATTCAAAATTTGATGGCTCTAGGTATCTTTATTTTACCACAATGTGAGAAACATACATACATTTATGTAAATTCTTCATTATTTCATTTCTTTTAAATATAACACAGGGCGATAATATTTGGTGGCAACAATTTGAAAAGTGAAACGGATATTTAAAATAAGTTTTCGACGCAAAACTCCATACATGTTTCGAGAGTATTTGGGCTGATGCCCCTGTGGGCTAAAAATATTTAAAAACAGCATCTCTTTAGAATTTACAATAGACAGTTTCGTACATTAGAGATAAAAATGTTTTATTCCATACAAAGTTGCCACTGCTCACTTTGAAATTGTTGAGTTTTTTTAATTACAAATTTGTTAAACTTTTACAGAATACGTATTAGATAATAAAATATATTTGAAATTGAAAATTCTTGCTTCCAGGTTCGAGTGAGGACTACGTTATTCAAAATTTGTTAGCTCTAGGTTCTGTTGTTTTTTCACAGTGCAAGAATCATACATACAGTTTATGCTGATTCTTTGTTATTTAATTCCTTTAAATGTAATACAAATCAATAATATTTGGTGGCAACAATTTGAAAAGTGATTCATCGCTTTCAGTGATTCAACACAAAATGTGGGTTCGAGATTAATAGCCCTTCTGGTCTTCAAGATTAATAACCCTTTTGTTAACCCTTTGTGGCTCAGTGTTCCACTACATGGAACACCCAA